AGGGAGATGAAGTTAATGAAAGTGGTGTTGAGGGAGATGAAGTTATTGAAAGTGGAAAGATGAGGAGATGATGGAAAGGTTGACCATTTGGAGATGAGGCGCAGGAAGAACAGCCCAAATGAGGAGGATATAGATTAATTATTGAAACAAATAAAAATGTTGTTTAGAAATGATGTTTTCATTTGTCAAATTTAGACAAAAAAATGAATTGAAATGGTCGTTGGTGGTGGTTATTGTTGTGAGATGGAAAGGATCGAGCATCATTTTGTTGTGGAGACGTGCATATATTTAGTATGGGATTTTGCATTGTGTGGATCTTGGTGTTAGGTTATGGCACGTTGTTTGTTTCGAGTGAAATTATAATTATTTTGTTGCAACTTTCATTTATTTTGCATCATTAGGAGTAGGTAAATGGACGGCATACTAGTTGGATGTGAGCTGCAGTATTGGTGAATATAGAATTTATTGTTACACATGTAAGATCTAATGTGTTGGATTTTAAGATTTAGAACGAAAATTGTGCTTCAACTTCTGATATGATAATTAATTTGAGTTTTTAGTTTGAAATGATGATGTGACTTAGACAAATACTACTAATTTAATGTGATGAATGTAGGACTTTATCTTACTTTCAAGTGGTGTTTCATAGTTGCATTTTGTTAATATAGCGATGAATTGACATCAAACATTTATGCTATTTCCCATTTCATGGGTGCTGCTAATAATGCTCCTTTGCCTGACACAGACAGATTTTTGGGGCCATTATGCTATTTCCCATTCCATGGGTGCATAGGGGGTAAATCGAACATTCATTCGGACGCTAATGCGAATTTCCCAAAACCTTTCAAACCCATTAAATAAAAATAAAATAAAATTGAGGGCAGTTAAGGCAACTTAACTTTACCCAGTTACCCTGGGACAGTGGGACGTTTGCACACGTTTGGCACCTACTAATCTTACTTCAATTCTCACCACCGCTAAAAAAACATCCGTCAATCTTCGGCCCAATTCGTAAAAACCAAACCCTAATTCAGCCTTTCTCTTGCCATCTGATTCTCTGCAAAACATCTTTCCTCTCGATTGAAGGCACAGAAATCAAATTCCCCAGTGGCGATGATAATCAAGAATTGAATTGCACCATTTTCCTTCGGAAAAAACCGACCTTTTTTTTTGCTCAAGGTAAAGAGTACTTTTTTTTGTCAGTTATAATGTGATTATATGTTCCTATCTAATTTCCCAGGTCTTGATTGTCTTGTTTCCCGTTTTCGTTTTCATGTTTGGTTTTTGAAGAATTATGCTTTCTTGGGTGAACTCGGGTTTTCTGTATTAGCTTGTAGAAGAATTGTTGTTGTCATTTACTTGTTCTGTACTGAGAAAAAAGCATCTCTGGTGATCTAATTCGTAAATTTCGGCAAAGGGTTGGCAGTGAATGCCTTTCATACGATTAGTTATGTAACTGGTGCTCTTTTTTGTGTGTTGCTGGAGATGAGGAGGAAGAGGATTGTTCTTTTTAAATTGTGATGGGGATTACTCGAAGTTACTGATGGAATACGGACAATATTGTCTCTAATTAGGGAATCATTATTGATATGTCTTTCAAGAATTGGACAATGACATAGTTTTCACTGCGTCAGGTGTATTAAATGATGAGCTCTGAAACTACTAGCTAGTATCTGGTTATTATTCTGAGTCTTGTGGCCATGCATTTCACTTCTAGATATTTTTCTTACTTTTTCTGGCCATTCACAGTATTTTTTTACCACTGTTTGTGAGATTATGTCCCATCCACAATGCAAAGTGTCCGAATCTTAGTTGTGTAAGTTAGCCCTGCACATCATTGCAGTATATGCACATGCATCCATAGGTGACTATGTTTGCTGGATGGCATTCCTTAATTGTATTGTCTAAACTGTATTGTCTATGGGCCACCTATAATCTTATTAACATTAGTGGTCTGTATGCAGATTAATATGTTGAAAATGGATCTCAGTCCTTAGTTAACTACTTCAAATTATTAATATATTATACTCATTCAAACATAATCACAAATTTCATACGAAAACTGATGAATCTTAAACTTAATTTTACAACATTTGAAATTGTACGGTAGACATGGAAAAATAATTATGCGTTGATGTATTTTTTAGTCCACCAATTTCTCATCTTACTGCAAGGTAGAAATTTGTGGCAATATCTATGTTTTTGGGCAGTTAATATATATTCTGACCTCTGTGTATGTTTTGAGTGAGTAATGACATGGCTGCATGGTATACTTATCTGAATGTTATTCTCTTCTATATTTTTTCTACAGTGGGTTTGCTAGGGACTCACTTGTTCTGACAGACATTGTGTAAGAGACCATGGGAAGTGCTTTTAATCCACACATTCTGATTGAGAAGCTGTCGAAGCTCAACAGCTCACAGCAAAGTATAGAGAGTATCCTGATATTTTTTCCAACTTGTTACAATTTTTGTATATGGTAGCTTTTTTAATGGCATTTCAATGCCAGTTATTTTTTACATTTGCATTGATGTTTTATTTTTGCACGACTAGATTGTTCATCTTGGAAAATTTGTGACTGTCAACCACCTTGATTTTTTTTAGGCAACATCTGTTTATTTATCTGCTTTCAAAAGGGAAGGGTATAGTTACCATACATACATTGTGGAAAAATGTTTTTCTGTCTGCATGATTTAAGCCATAATCTATTTCTTCTGTACTATTCTGGTCATAATGTCTTCTCGTTTTCTGCTATTTTGTTTACCTTGACACAATTAAGCTCTATCACACTGGTGCATTTTTCACATGAACAAAGCAAAACAAGTCGTGGAAACTTGGGACAGACAGTTTCATTGTGCTCCTCGTGAGCAGAGGTTGGCTTTTCTGTACCTTGCAAATGACATTATACAGAATAGCAGGCGCAAGGGTGCTGAGTTTGTTGCTGAATTCTGGAAGGTTCTTCCGAATTCCCTTCACGACATGATTGAAAATGGAGATGAGTTTGGAAAAAATGCTGCCTTGCGCTTGGTATGTCTAATTTCTCGTGCACTCGCTGAACATTGTACATTTACTCTTTAGTGACCTTAGTAAATGAAAATTCAAGAGGTGCTAGAAAATCATGGAAGAAAGGTTTCATCTGATATGATTTTGTTTGTATATATGTGCTTATAACCTTTTCTGGTGTGATTCTCATCTATATCGTCCCAAAATCGTTCTAAGAGTTATGGATAAGATTTTGCGTCAGTGAAATGGCAGTTGTGTTTTGATAGTTGAAACTTAACTTTGCATGAATTGTTATCCAGGGATTCTATATTATATACTGTGTGATAATTACTATCGTGTGAAATATGTTGAATATCATTGAAGTATCCGAAGTTGGCGTGGCGTATTTTATACTCTTACTTCTTGCAGATCAATATCTGGGAGGAGAGGAAGGTATTTGGCTCTAGAGGTCAAATTCTCAAGGACGAGTTTGTGAAAAGGCAATTAGACAACAATAATAGAAATTTGAAACATTCTGCATCCAAACCGGTACTGTTGTTGATTTCATGATTTTTTTTTTTCGTTATTATCGTTTCTGTTGTGTGTGTGTGTGTTTATGAGTGTGTGGCTTGTGCACTTTACCTTTACTAATTCCTTTTACCCGCTTTTTGCTAGCAGCATTCACCTGTTGCTCCTGATCACCTTTGCAAACAGTCATCACCTGGTGGGACTGAGCTGGACAAGCTAGTATCTGGCTATCAAGCTATCTATAGAAGCCAATTTGATGAGGAAGCCATTTTCAACAAATGCAGAAATGCTGTCAGCTACATTGAAAAAGTGAGTAAAGACATCGAAGGTGAATACGGGTTAGGTATGAGCTCCATCTCTTACGCATCTCTGTTTTTTTCTATGTATTAATTTTGGGACACTATACACTGTGATAATCTTATTTTTCTTGGTCCAATTTTTGTGGGAAATTTGAATTAGGCCATGTCGACAGTAATGAGCTGAAGGGGCAGAATGAGATATTGAGGGACTGCGTTCAGCAGCTAGCTATAGTTGAATCTTCCAGAGCAAACCTTGTATCTCTCTTGAGGAAAGCTCTCCAGGACCAGGTAGATCTTTTGGAACTCATGTGTCCTCTGTTTTTTTTACTTTTTACTGTTTTATTCTGTTCTTTTCCCCCAGTAACTTTTAGCCACTTGTGCTATCTACAGGTGTATAAACTGGAACAAGTCAGGGAACAAGTTCAGGTAAACGAGCGTTGGTTTGCTCAAAACCGGGTTCTTTTAAACCACGTTTGTTTTTTCATTAACCGTGAAGCCAAGTCACATTTTTCAGGCAGCCCAAACACGATCTGAAGAAGCAGACACTATATACAGGCAGCTGGTGGGTAGCAGCAACAACAGCGCAGCACCACAACAAGACGACACAATCCCTCCGCCAGGACCCACGGAGCAATCATCCTCCGCTGCGCCGTACACTCCGAATTCCCCTTTCCCCGCAAATCCCAACGACCCCAAATCAGCAGCCGCCGCCGTAGCCGCCAAGCTGGCGGCCTCCACTTCCTCTGCCCAAATGCTCTCTTTCGTCCTCTCATCTCTCGCCTCCGAGGGCGTTATCGGCAATACTAATAATACTAACAACAACAACAATAATAATAATAATAATAATAATAATAATAATAATTTGATGACCAAAGACCATTTGGGTGAATATCAGTCTGAAAAACGAGCTAGGCTGGGAGACGAGCACCACTTGTACATCCCACAGCACTCGATGGCGTCTGACGAGGCAAAACCTCCACCACCGTCATCTCCGCCACCCGTGCAGCCTTTGCCGCCACCCGTGCAGCCATATCCTGTGCCACAGTACATGCAAACGGCAATGCCGGTAGCTTATCAGGTGCCGATGGTGGTGCAGCCGGGTTATGCTCCTCCGGTTGGATCTGTATTTTCTCCGGCGGGGGCGACAAATTCTTACCAGACTTACCCGCCGCCGGAAAGTGGCTTCTACAGCCAGCCACCGATGGCTCCGATGAGCCGTCAGTAGGGTTGGTGGTGGTTGGGTAATGGGGATGAAGATTTTTAGAAGAGTGTTTTGATTAAAGCTTACCTTGGGATTGTTTTATACTTTAGTGTCAAGTGTTTGGAATTGGATTTTCTTTTTCTTTTTCAGGGACTTGATGGTACATAGGTATTTTTACAAAACTGTAGTTTGCAGGTGTTTGTAATTGAGTTTCACCTAATTTGATGTTTCTTATGGAATTGAGATGGTAGTTTCCTGATTAGCATTTTTTTCCTTTGGCATGTGAACTTGATTAGGTTCATTATATCCTATATTATTTTCATTTTTTTTTTCCTCTTTTTGGAAATTGTGTTGGGGTGGAGAAGTGTAGTGGAGATTCAATTATATCCTAGAACTCTTTAGTTATAATTACTTTTTTTTTCAACTGTATTTGGAAATTATCTAAATTTTTATGGAGTTATCGGATGGTTTTTTTATGGAGTCATCCACTACTTAATGTATTGACACCTACCTAATTTGTATTTATTGACGGACACGTGTCAATATACCATTAGTGAATAAGTATGGTGGATGGCTCCATAAGTTGAGCCATCCGATGGTTCCATAGCAAAATTGTTGGAAATTATAGAGGACAAAAAAGTGATATATAATGAGTAGTATTTTTTTTTTAAAGAAAATGTTTTAATTATTGTTCTAACGAGATTAATATTGAGGGAACAAATAAAAATAAAAATTAATTTTTTATACCCTGGCTGGCTAATAAATATAGAAGATGTGTAGTAGCTCAAGTCGAAGAAAGAGATAAAAACTAGTGTCTATTGTACTTTCTATTTATGGTGTTTTGGACCGATGGTGCCTAGGGCTAGAAATACAGTCAAGGTTCACTGTTATCGACTTTGTTGGGGAGTGAACCTTGACTGTTAAACGACTCGTTTGCATATTTTATGAATGAAAATGTATGCTTTGACTATCAAGTATCACACTTCTGTTTATGTTGTTTATTATAGTATAATATTTTCTAATGAATTTATGTATATTTATTAAATGAGTATGTAAGATGAGTATGACGGCCCATCACGAAAATTTACTTGAGGATGGGAATTGGTATTGTTAGGCTAACTATTTAGAAGCATGGATTAGATCCAGTTAGTTGAAAGCAATAAATGTTTGAGACAGTGATTACTGATGAAACTATTTAGTGTATGTATGAAGAAAATAAGAGTGATCTCCAAACGACATGCCCACGATATTCTCAACAAATGCATCCACATTTTAAATGATTTTTATTCATACACACACAATTATGACATCATCTTAATTAATGTGTACACTTTACCCATCACCAATATAATTTTTTTCCGTCAGAGTGGGTCATCAATGTCATGTGGAAGCTGAACCCTATCTAACTAATAGAACAAGTGATCGACCTAACGGTCGGGGAAGGACGGTCGACCGGGGAGGTTATCTACCCGTTGGCCTAAGGGTCGACCCGGAGTGTTGACCCATGTATGTTTGGTCAACGGCGGGGTACAAACCGACTATCACGCAAACAAATACTATATAAGGGGAGAAAACATTCAAGAAATACATTCACTAGACACATTATTCTCTTATTCCGAAATATTGACTTGGGCGTTAGAGGGTCTTGCGCCGGAGCAATTCCGGCGTATTTGCAGGTACTGGCCAACACTCACGAGTTAAACGCATTTACGCCGCAATCGCGAAGAACCCGAAGTCATCCATCTCGGACCATATCAACAAGAGGCGTATTATAACATTTAAAATTGTATCCCAAATCGAATAAACTAATTGCATATATATTTCCATTTTTTAAATTTTGTGTGCATGAAATTGTAAATTTTTGTTTTAAATTTACTTGTAATAATAAAATTGTGATGTTCATATCTTGGAAGTTTTGATCATCCAGCAACAAAAAAGCGTTTTTACTGCATCATCAGATGAGAATTGGAACATGCATGTGATGTAAGAGTAAGACCGACAACAAGGATTAAAAACGGAGGTGTGAAATTCACATGAACTTTCTTTTCCATGTCAAATATTTTATAAATTAAAAAAAAAAAGTAAAAAATTATAAAAATACAAGAAATTCCGACATAAATTCGAAAACTCTATAAATACCACATAATCTGTGCCTATAAATTAAATACCACCACCCAAACATCTCATTATATTGCTCGTAAAAACTACCCTAAAGTACTCAACGTACTCACACAATCACACGCGCGCATTCACTTACACATACACACAAAAATAAAAAATAAAGAATTGAAAATGCAGATGGGGAGGTCGTCCAACGACCCGTTTGAGAGCATCGAGCGGATGGCATCGTCGGGTGCGGTGGTGATATTGAGCTCGAGCACGTGCTGCATGTGCCTCGCCGTCGAGCGGCTCCTCCGCGGCCTCGGCGTCGGCCCCACCGTCTACGAAATCGAAAGCGACAGCCTGGCGGCCGCCCTGCGCGGGCTCGTCGGAGGGCCGGCAGCCGTCCCTGCTGTCTTTGTTGGGGGGAGGCTCGTCGGAGCCATGGAACAAGTCGTGGCGGCGCACGTCGCCGGAGCACTCGTCCCGCTTCTCAAGGAGGCCGGCGCACTTTGGCTATGATATTTTTTTATTTTCACTTCTTTTAATTCTTTTTTTCCATTTTTTTCCCCTTCTATGATATATAAATATTCGAATTTAATTATTTCCAAGTTCCAATGCAATTGAAGTTCCAATATTTTTTCGGTTAGATTCAGTTTACATATACTTTTGACATTATTTATACTTTGCATAAAGATTTATACATTATTTTATCTATAAATATTCATTTTTGTTAAGAAGGTAGACCGCGTAAAGAGTACATCGATCATTACGGTGCCATATAATTAAATTAAGGGTGTAACGAGTCTAACCAGTAACTTATTTATGAATATTAAAAAGAAGAGTTCGACTATTAACAAACTGATCGAGCTCGAGTTTTAACAAGCAAATCTATATATAGAAAATTATATAGGTATATATAATATTTTCTAGTCTAGCCACGGGCTATTCATTTATTTTAACAACTCTACGTATATATAACTTATATAGTTAATCAATTTGCACTAATCATATCGTGTTATATTTGGGACTAGGTAGGATCATTTTATCATTCACAAATGTTGTTGATAGGTTGCTTAAATGTTAGACAGTCATATTTTCTTCACAAATTCCTATTTATATTATGAAATATTATACTTTTATTTATAAAATATAATATCTAAATATATGTATATCTATTCAAATGATAATGTAAGAAATTAAGGCCCACCGTTCCACATTGAATTAAGAAGCTGCATAAGGTTACTTTTTCATGGAACACTCGTATCATTGACTTCATAATTTATCACTCTTAATAGCATGGCAAATTGCAATTGTAGGGGTCCAAATAATTGTGATAAAAACTCCATAAATTAATTTGCAATAATTTAATCATTTAAGTAAGACTAATTAATTGATGCAATATTATATAAAAGCTAGCTAGGTCACGAGGCGTAGAAGGCAGACCCGACTCTATTACAAGTGTTACGATATAAGTTGCCTTGTACAAAGAGGCACTTACTGCCAATTACTATTATTTATGACCATGTGCCCACATCATGGACGAAAATATATAAGACAGATTGGCCAGCATAACACTAATTTTTAAACAAAAATATAGACTTAATTGTATGTATGATGGATTAATCGGTTTTCAACTATAACATATATACAATTCACCTAATTTTATTGAGCAATAATGTGTGCATGCATGGTTGCTCGACGCATGTTGAATTCATATTTTTTTAGTACATTTCGAAATATTGTCTTATATTGTAGCTCTGAAATAATTGTTTATTGATCCCAATTTAATCATATATATCTCCTTGAATTTATTGATTGAATTTGTAGTACAGCATAATATAATAGCGGGCCTATGCTGTACGATTCTCCAGTAAGTTATAGCAACACTGGTACGTCATTTGTGTGCATCTGATTGGTGCCCAAATTTCGTACATACAATCTCAATTATGGTATTTATGATGTGGGTAACTGGTGACAACTTACAACTTGATCTTTTAATTTGATTGCATTTCAAATTCACAAATTGCTCTATCAGCTCCAATATTTTCTAACAAAAATATGTATTTCTTTTATTTAGAGTATAACGTTCAAGTATCTACATTTCTGAAATTATGTATTGTTGTAGATTTTGGAGCTCTAATTCATTTTGCTCCGCACAAGACAAAATCTAAATATGTACAAATGTTATCTTGCTCTGCACAAGACAAAATCTATGTATGTACAATGTTTAGACTCGTGACAAATATGTACCGTCTAAAAAAATATATATCTATCCTTTTACCATGTGTTAGCAAAAAAAATTATTTATCACGATTTTATTATTTATTATAAATTTATTGTTGACATCTATATATCTATACTTATATAATAAGAATTAACATTTATCCAAAATAGTAGGTCAAATTATGGTCAATGTCGAATTTGCATTAAGTATTTTTCAAAACTGGTAAGTTTTTGTCCTTTTCACACTTCTCATTAATTATGTCCTTTTCACACTTCTCATTAATTATATCATTTTCACACATCTAATTAATTCATTAATTACAACATAATTATCATAAATCATTCCATCTGAGCTTTTATCGTTAAAATGTATAGCAATCTGTTATGACCTTATCTCATTGATATTTCCATGAAGCGTCCTTATCGCGTTCTATTTTTTGGTAACCAATCTATATCAATAACCCGATATTTGGTTAATGATAGACACGTCTTTATTTCAAGGAGTGGATATTCTTTGACCTTTAATTAATCTGAACTGACTGCCTTGACTTTTCAATTTCTAAAAACTCTTTTTTTAAATATTTCGGCTTAAGATTTGGATTTTATTATACAAGTCATCGGATTGTTTGAATGAAAATGAATGAAAAGAACACAAAAAACAGGTAGCCTTATTCATATAACCAATCCTAAAATATTAGTTTGTTCACCAAAAATATTAGTTTGATTTTTAGGATTTGTCTCTTTTGAAAATATTAGTTTGTGATAATGAGGAGTTACAAAATAATCAAACTCATAATGTTGTGTACAAGGAGGTTTTTAATAATATATGATTGTTACCGAACTTTTTATGATTCAACAATGTTTCTATGTATTTTAATGATTTCAATTTCGATCCTAATGCACGTGAGGTTATATTATTCTTCCAAATTTTACATCTCGTACATCGCACGAGTTACGTACTAGTATATATATATTTTTTCCAAAGACTCCTAAGCTTTACTTTAATTGCCACTTTCGGGTTAAGTTTGGGCTGAATTGGGCCAGTATTGTGAATCCTAATAATTGTCTTGTTGGAAAGCTAGCCGAACTCTGANTGGCAAAATTCTATTTTCTACCACGTAAATTATAAAATAACAAAAAGTTTAAATTAAAAAAAGAAAAAAAAAATTCAAATAGCGAGAAAAATAAAATGAGGAAATGAAAGTAAAGAAAACTAGACCAGAAAGTAAAATAATAAATAAAAAATAAAAGAAAGAACAAGAAGATGCACATGGCGTAAATCTTCAAAATCTGATCTAATGCATACCTATTTTCAAAGAGTAACTGGCGCAGCAAGGATTCAAAACCCGAAGTTATAAGCCTGAGCTCGTCGAGATTCAGAAGAATTTCTGCTGGGTGAGAGCTGAATTTGGGAATTTGATCGGGGGGACCTGTTTGCGAAAATTGGGCTTTGACATTTTTGTAACATTTGGGGAGGAATATCAAATGCCGGAGGAAGATTTGGTGGAGGTGAAGTTCAGATTGTACGATGGAACGGACGTCGGCCCTTTTCGCTATTCGCCGGCGGCTACTGTTGCGATGCTTAAAGAGAGGATTTTGACCGAGTGGCCCAAAGGTAAGTTTTTCTTTACTACTTTAGCTTTTGTGTTTGATTGCAATGAGTATTGGGCTTGAAAGTAATTTTTGTATGTCAGTTTGTTCCTGCAAGTGGGTGTGTTTGATTAGATGGCAGTTATTAATTGTTTCATGAAGCTTATAATTCTTATTTGATTTCAATCTGCCTATGTCTTTCTTGAAGCTTAAGAGTGGAAGTGCTTTTTTAAGTTTTTGTGTTTCATTACAATGAATATTGGGCCAGAAAGCAATTTTTGAGTGTGGGTTTTCCTGTATGCAAGTGAGTGGGTTTGATGAAGCTTGTATATATCATTTTATTTCAATCTGCACATGGCTTTCTTGAAGCTTAAGAGTGGAACTTAGTGTGAAAATCTTGTGTGTGCCTCACAAGAAGTTTAGCTTTGAGCAATGAGCATACTTGTATTGCATTGAGTAATGCATATCATAATCTTCATAATATATTGTCTCAAAATTCCTATGCACAAACAGCTTCTTTCGGCAATGCTGCAAGCATGACTTTGCTTAATTGAATTCAATTTGTCGAATATCATCAGATAAGAGAATTTCACCGAGGGTAGCAAACGACGTGAAATTAATAAGTGCTGGGAAAGTTTTAGATAATAACAAGACTGTTAGCGAGTGCAAGATGCCATTTGGGGATCTACCTAATGGAGTTATTACAATGCATGCAGTAGTACAGCCATCTTTGGCAAAAGTGAAAACAGGTAAAACTCTTCGACTAATCTTGTGAGGTTACACTATACAATTATTACCTGTTGAGTGTGTTCATTTGTTAGCTTTCCAGTATGTACCTTTTTTTCTCCCATTTTTTTGTATCAGATTGTTTGAGTTCTCTAGAGTTTCAGCTCCTAGTTGCATGTTTCTATTGCCAATGGTTTCTTGATTTCTCTTTGGGCAGATGAAAATTGTTACTGTGTGCAAGAGTGTTTATTGAATCTCGAATACAATACTATCTTGAGGTTACTTGGGTGTTGGTAAAAAGTGTTATGGTGAGTGGAGGCTAGAAAGAGTTGGAGAGGTGGACAATTTATAGGAAAAAATATGATTATACACAACTAGAGATGAATTAATCTAATCATTCAGTTGGCACAAGATTCTTGTAGAAATTTTCTATCGAATACACTTATGTCCTGTTATTTTAACGGGGCAATTAATATATGCATATACATGATGTATGTAATTCACGGTTATTTGGTCTGGAGGCACTAATCTCATTCTATGGTGTAGTATCGTTTTCTGTCATTTGCTTCCTCTGCAATTGATATATGCATATACACTTAGTGAACTTTTCAATTTTAATGGGGAAATGGGATAAAAATGCAATTGATAACTTTTCAATTTTCAAAATCTTACGTGTTATTTTATTTGTTCGTGTTATTTTGGATCTAGGATATGTTGAGGTCTTGTCAATTGCCATGCCATTATATTATTGTCTACCTAAATAAATCCACACACGTTTGCCAAAATTTCACTTCACTGTTATCATCGTTGTTATTATAATTATCCTTGTGTTATAAACATGAAACCATGTAACTATCTCAAAAATGATATCGTTAAGTCTTATATTCTATATTTATTTTCTCATCTAATCACTTGAAAAATCCACATTGTGCCCACAGAGAAGAAGGTTGAGGAGATTCCGAAGAAGCATATATGTTCGTGTTCTATATTGTGAGTATAAGTTTTGATCCAGTTTTCATCTTGTGGGCTTCTAAGGGGACGAGCTTACATACCCTGTCAACAGTGAAGCCTCCAAAAAAGGGACAATATAGTAATATTCGTTACTCTGTGTATGCTTGATGGCATTTCTGTGTCAAACATTTATTATTTGTTCTCATTTATATAAATTTTATGCTTACCAATTCTCTTTATATTCAAGGAGAATACCATACCTTATGTGGGCTATTGTGATAATTCAATAAATATTTTTACCTGTTTTTTTATTTTAATGATTCGTGTGACACATACAAATGTGTGTAATTTTAAAGAATATATATTTTTATATTTGTGATTATAATTTCTAATAAACTAATCACACTTCAATAATTCACTTTTACTTTACAAATTAACATTTACCTATATGAAGGCAAAGTATGTATATCTCCATTAAATTATACGGGCTCAAGTTCATAAGTTTTACGTTGAATCTAATTAATTCCTTAAAAGTGCAATAAATGTTCTCACACGTGTGCTTGCGTTTCAAATGATATTCAGTCGTACAACTAAATGCCAAATCCCATATACGGTTAACCTTGAGAAGAAAATATGAAAATATCTACATTTTGTTCCGTTCTTAGTTTCTAAAAGTACCAAAAACAAAGTCCAAATCAACTCAATTTAACTAATTCTATGAATAAATTTTAATCTATCTAATGTAAAAGAACTAATTCTATGAATAAATTTTAATCTATCTAATGTAAAAGAAGGATAAATAAATAAATAAGCAAGCACCTCATCTCGCAATCTCTTTCCAACACACACCTGCCACACAATAACGCCAAATGAAATTCACATGATTTTGTTTGATATGCATAGGGAAAAAGGGAACTCAACACTTAGCCCTCTTTAGAGTTTTACTCAAAAACACAACTGGCATTCAATTCATTATCCACAAAAAACACAGTGACAAGCTCACACACACACACATGAGAACATGATGAACTACATTAATATGTAGCCATCTCATTGGCTACTTCATAAACCATCCAAACATACCAAAAAAAAATCTTGGCATTTCCAATATTGCTTGCTGCAATGTGTTCAATTGTTCTCTTGGTATTTTCTTTCTTGTTCACTGTGTCCTTTTTTGGCCAAGTTGAAGCAACAAAAAGATCTCCATCTTACCCTCAAATTACAGTTATGGGCATGGTTTATTGTGATATCTGCTCCAATAACTCCTTCTCTAAGCACAGCTACTACATGCCAGGTATAATTTTCCATCACTGAGTTACCCTCAACTTTTGTTGCTTTGTAATTTTGCAATTTATATCTATTGTTCAGTAATATCAGACTTTAAGAGGGTAATGCAGCAATATAATTAAAAAATAGTGGGTTCTTTTTTTTTTTTTTTGGTAAACAGGTGTTGAGGTGAGAATAGATTGCATGTTCAAAGCAATTTCACCAAGAACCACTGAGCAAATATCATTTTCAGTCAACAGAACTACAAATAGATATGGGATTTACAAGTTGGAAGTACCTTCTGTTGATGGGGTTCAATGTGCAAGAGACAAGTATTTTGGAAACTTATGCAGAGCTAGCCTGATTTCGACCTCGTCTTCATCGTGCAATGTGCCCGGTTTTCAGACAACATCGGATGAGATTTCAGTAAAATCCAGACAGGCCAACTTCTGCTTATACAGCCTCAATGCATTGAGTTATAGGCCATCCATGNGAAAAAAAAAAAAAAAGGTTGATATAATTCAAGCCTATGTTGCAGTTTATTTGAGGCAGTGCGAGAATTAGAATATCTATTAGAAAATTGTGTTGATCTCAATTTTTTTTAAAAAAACAGATGATCTATCTGGAATCTGTATTTAGTGTTTTTCGGCTTGTTTGATGTTCACAAATTGTGTATCTGTAGTAGATTTTTGAGGTATGTACGAAAGATTTCACGTGCACTGAGCCCATCAGAAATTTGCAAATCAATTTCGAGGTAAACACAAGATCTGAACCGTTAGATCAATATACACCCATATTGGATTTGTGTACATGTAATCTAATGGTTCAGATTACAGTGGGGGCGATAGGGTCCAGAATGCGGGCCGAATTCTCGCAATTCCGATGTGCTTATGTAGAATTACTTGTAGAAAGTTACATTTTAGCAATATTCAGACATTCAGACTGTGGAAAGTGAAATTGCCACATCTCATGTTACTTATAATTATAATGTCTGCNAAATGTATCAAATCGAGAAACGTATAAGATTGATTTGTCATGGGCGAAACATAACATGAAAAAGTTGCTAAAATTTAAAATACATTAAAAAAATGTGCTCATAACGAAGCACATGCACACATTTATATGAAACCAGTTTAAAAAACAATGTAAAATTATAATTACTAGCATTAAATGAAACTATGATAAATACATCTGTTATCATCAATGTAATATGTGAAAGTTCAGGACTGCAGATCAGTGATTACTCCGAACCCCGTTATCGTCATTTATACAATCCCCTGTTTATGAATTTTACACATTTTTTGTTTTTAACAAACTGAGTGAATGCTAAGTAAAATTGTGGATACAATGAATCACGACAGTTGAAAATGTACAACCCAAATATTCTAGCTGACTATGGATGTTTAACCCTGGATTGCTTTCATCACAAAATTAAAAATTCGAGAAAATGACCCGTCATGCTTGGCCACACTTGCTTAAACAAGCAACTCCCTCTTCCAAATAATCTTGTCTGCTAATCCAGAACTCAGGAGCATCCTGTAATGTATTATATTATCTCAAGAACTTGCGAACGTTTATGATACGTACGACCATTCAAAAATTATGAAAGCAAGTAAATGATCAGCATTCAGCATTGATAAGCATGCAGGTGCATAAACGTATGCTCTATCTCCTCCGTACAAAACCTAAGCTCGAATTTAACTTTAACTGGCCAGTTTCCATGTGTATCCCGGGCCCATATGAACAAAGCTAGGGAAATGGGAAAATTTCAGGTTAAATTCTCTCTCTGTCGCCTTAAAGAGTATTTTTAGTGTTTCAATTTCGAAGAATTGGTCAACTGTCTATATATGTGTGTGTGCTCTGGAAGGGAGTAAAGGATGTGTACCTTCATAATTCCTGCCAGAACTGCACCTCCTAGATACACCATATGTTTTCTCCGTGGTGGATCCTCTATCCGCAGGCGTAATTTCTATGACGAGTAGCAAAAAAGGAAAAAATAAATAAATAAATACATTCATTTTGCACCAGAAAACAAAAGAAGAACGTAAGTTACAAGAAATGATAATTGACATCCTTTCGGGGGGGTGGGAAAGGGTTTAGTGATAATTGACATGACTAGTTCTAGTAGGAGACTGGAGCTCAAGGACGTCGAAATTGACTATGCAAGCTTCAGCCTAAAATATGGCGATAATTTTGATTGTGCTTTAACGGTAAGAATATAGAGGGATGATTTAATTCTGTGACATTCTCTCTCACTCCTTTGAGGGTGTGTGTAAAAGAGTCAAGCTAACACACAATCCCTAAGTACTGAAGTACATATGGGTGGTGTTATTTTGCAGAAAGAACAAGTATATACCTTCAACCCATCCTTATTTCCCTTCAGAACAACGTCAAGGTAACGATCTGATATTTCTTTCTCCAACCTGAGAAAATATGATCGGATTAAGCAAGCTAAAGAGTTCAACACCTAGAAAGAAAAAGAAAGCAATATTTTAAGAGGGATGACCAGAACAAACTGCATAGAATCAGTTGCATAAAAATAACTAAGTTGCTTTGCCAAATCCTTCTCTACTAGAAAATATCATTTTTTTTCCATATACGAGGAAAGAGGTGTATTATGTAATACCGACTGGGTAATCCAGGATACATTGTACTCCCGCCACTCAAGACAATATGTTGGTAGAGCTGCAAAATAGAGGCATATATCTGTGTGAGCAACTGCAGCCAGTGACTGCTAATAGAAAGATAATGCAGCTGAAAGGATCTATTAATACCATCATCCTATTGTCAATATCCATTTCCTGAATGCAACGAAATACCATATCCGCCATGCCATCTCCCTCAACATCTATGAGTTCCTGCACGAATTATATCATCAAAGTTTATGTACGGACAGTCGTAGAGCGTGGATGAAGCAGTAACTGAATACAGAGTCAAAACAAGTACCCTCCAGAAAAGATATAGCTGCTTATAAAGGCCTTTTTCATACTACGCTGATTGATTTTCCAAATGAAATAAGCTTCAAATATCATTGGTTATCCCAACTATAGGAAACAGAGGAATATATATTCCCCACCGATGTACTCAGATCAATTATCTAAAGAGGTAATAATAGACATTTTATTGACTTGCAATGCCAGTCCACCTCTGGTTTGCTTTGAAATGGCATAACATACTTACTGGGGTGAAAAGCGCTTCAGGGGCTTGAAATCGCTCATTGCCAACTTTAATGACTCTTCCATCTGGGAGCTATTTACGCAGCTAAGTCAGTATAGGCAATTTCACATTATTGTAGCTGTCAGGCAAAACTTAAAAGCTTCCAGAAATTCATCTTACGGTATAATTTTTAACAAGGATGGTAGTCTCAAGTCCCAGCTGATATTCCCGTTTGTAATCATAACTGTAGTAAACTGGACAATGTTAGCAAATGTATGTCATGTCAAGAGACAGGCCATTAAAGCAGGTGAGAACCAGTTTACCTAATGTAACAGAGCTTTTCTTTGATACTCCTCACAGTCTCAAAGTCAGCAGTTCTATTCATAGCATAGCTTTGGAGAGAGAGACGGGCCCATTCATGTGAAGGCACAAGGCAATCAGCTTTAGCTAACTTAATCCATTAACTGAACTCAGAAGTATCCAGATGACTTACCCCCTCCTCGTGAGCAAATCAACAAGATATGACGTTATATGGCGCCCAGCTACATTCATCCGCTTCGTAAGATGAGGGAATGAGTATCCATCAACCACTGGAACCTGGGAGACAAATTACAAAAATCAGAACGACCAAGGATCAATCTCCCTGGTGCAGCTGTGTAAATTACCAACATGACCTAGTGTATGCACATATATCCAGATTATATATTAAACAACAAAACAGCGTTTGAAGGTTGTTAACAGTGCATGCAATTGGTCTATACCGTGTCATATTCCTTTTTCACTTTATTTAAGAGGATATATCCTACCTTGGTTTTTGCGGTTCTTTTATAATAGATTCTGGATAATTCGTGAAACAAACACGATAATGTATGCAGTCATCTAACATATAAGGAGATGATTAGGTAGCACAACATGGCTAAAGCACATCACAAGCATAACATAATAAATATCTTACCACATGAGTAACTCCATCCCCGGAATCAATAACTAGCCCCGTAAGCAAACCTGAGTAAGTAAAGGAATATCGAAAGTGCATCACTACCCTAGCCAACATTAATATCAGGAATCTGGACAGAATTCTTAAAACTGTAAACTGTTGCGGTTTTGCCCAGAGTACATCCAATTAAAGGATCTCAGACCATGTTAACAGCAGTAAACAACCCTCTAGCTGAAACTTAGAACGTTAAGTTTTAACATTTAACGGCATTCAACTCCATAAGTACCTTGAGCATACAAGGTTAAAACAGCTTGTATTTGGATAAAAACACCAGAAAAGTTGTACTTCTCAAACATAATTTCAACCTGAAATTTTGGTTAAAAAAAAAGGTTAGATCAAATCATCTGTTCGTACTGAATTTCAAGAAGAGATGTAACAATATAAAAGAAGCCACCTCACCATCTTTTCACGGTTCTTAGATGGATTCAAAGGCGGGTCAGTGAGCAAAATCTTACATTCTGTAGGATCTACCTTCAGACAAAATAAACAAAATGAAAACTGAAGTGCAACTTACAACTGAGACTTTACGGGGAATCATCAGGAATGGGTGCGCATGTATGTGTGCGCATGAACATGTAGATTTATAAGAGGTATGGCAGAAGAACCTTTAGTTCGCTAAAAAAGGCATGATCCCACACGTGCCCCATATCATCCCAGTTTTGCACAATGCCATTGTTTACAGGATAAGATATGTCCAACTGATGCCGCCACTTTAAACAGGCATCCCCAACAAGAGTATCCTATGGAGAATAATAGCAAAGCACATAACATAAAAACAAGGAAGTCCAGTACAAGAAAAGATACCTTTTAAACATAACAAGTGTAAGCAATATAACTTCCATACTATGTATTTTAATCAATAGGATTGAGAAGAAAGCTGATGTTGATGAAAAATCTGCTCGGATATGAATGTAAATACAAATAATTCAAGATTTAATGTTTCAAATCCAAGATATAGATAAACTTGCTGTTTCCAGCCATCAGAAAGGAAGCCCAATAACATTCTCCGATCTGACATGAGTCTTCTTGCTCTTAAATTTACTTTCTGTACTAAACATGCACACTTCATTGTAGTTCCCGTCTTCGCATATTATCACAAATCAAGAAAAGCGTGTACACGTTTGCTCTTTTTCCCCTAAAAGCTAAATGAAACTAACTAGATCATTTTTTCTATAATATAAAACAAAGCAAAATTGAAGATTACAAAAGTGGATGAAAGCAAAGAACGTAGGCTGACCGTGATCTCTTGTTCCATCAAAGATTCTTCATAACGAAGCATTGGCCTCCCCACCACACAAGGGAACACTGATGTAGGGAAATTCTCCCCCGCAAAACCGCACTTCACATACTGCATTTAGCAAATCAAGAGCAAATGTTGCATCAATTAACCCAAATAACTCATAATAAACATACAAAAATTCTCAGATACAGAAACTCATTCAT